ACCCTAAACCCTAAACCGTGGTTAACAGAAACAATCGGGGTTGACCTTCAGGTCGGAAGTCCTTCATTGTGTAGGGTGTGGGGGCTTAGGGTGTTTGGTTGTGGGGTGTGGGGTTTTGGGTTTAGGGTTTAAGGTTTAGGGTTTAGCGGGTTGTGGGGTGTAGGGTTTGAGGGTTTTAGGCTAGGGTTCACCGTGGTTTTGAGTGACCAGAGACTCATTCGAAGATGGAATACCCTTGCATGAGGGTTTATCGCTGTAGTTCAGGAGTTGGACGAACAGCTGAAGCAAAACGAAGAGGACAGGAAGCAGCTTGAAAAGGAACCAGCTATACTATACGTTGAGCCGCATACTACTTCTTCGGGTTCTTTATTTTTTGTCATAGAGTATAATGTGCCCCTGAACCCTAAACCCAAACTATCAAGGGTTCTCTATCATATTCTTTAGTCAACTTGTTACAGAACATGAACTCAGGCCCCTCAGCCATACACCGTTAGCCTAAACCCCTGAACCCTAAACCCCCAAGCCTCTAGCCCTAAACCAGAAGCTTTGAAGAATATGGAGAACTGAGAGGTGACCCCAGAGATGTCCTTGGATGATACTGACATTGTAGGCTTTGGGGTTTCGGGTTAAGGGGTTCGGGTTTAGGATTTAAGGTTTAGGGTTTACGGTTTTGGGTTTATGGTTAAGGCGGTATCATACCCAATGACGTTCGGAGATTCAACATTTCGTAAACAGTCTTCGTCCGTACACACAGATCTCCATGGCATCATTTGCGCACCTCTGCTACTTCTGGCAGGAATGTCTAAACCCTGAACCCTAAACCCCAAAACCCTAAACCCAAAGTGCTTTACACCTAACTTAGTGCCCAAGCTGGAACTAAGCATCATGATCCTAGATGTGTGTTTCAACTTTGCGGCTTCCATGAGTCGAAATTTGAGGTCTGGTTTGGGATACCCTGCAGCTCCTGGATATTTATGAGTTCAGATTCGACAAATCGCACGGACGACAACCCTGCTGGGGACCCTTCGAAACCCAGTGTGTTTGCATGAAATGCTATAGCTCTCAGGGCTGCAGCCCTCATATACTTATGCATGGTCACGGAAGTTGACTTTGTCGAGTCTTGGATCGACTATTGTGCCAAGATGTTCAGCATGGCTTGCTAATCCCTCAACCCTAAACCCTAAACCCTAAAAGCCCTAAACCCTAAACCCTAAACCCTAAACCCTAAACCAACCTTACAACCTGAAGGCCCGACACCCCAAAGCCGTTAACGGCAACCCCAAACCTGTCAGCTCCACAATCCGGCACCTTCAGGGTCAAACACCCCTAACATAGGGGCCTTGATAGTTAGAATAGGGTTTTGGGGCCCATTCTACTATAACCATAAGGAACCCGGAACCCCCAAAATAGCCCATTGTACTATGATTATGAGGTACCGGCAAAATAGTATTGGTAATTATATTGGCCCCTACATTAACCTTAGACACTGACTAAGCCCTGAACCGACTGCTTTAGGCTTTTACGGCAAGGCTTTGATCAGGCCATCTAGGGATTACCCATAGGCCCCATAGTAGTTCCTTTTTGGGGGTTCACAATGTAGAATCCTATAAGGCAATCCCCAAAAGCAACTACTATGGGTAATTTAAAACCCCAAGCCCTAAACCCTAAACCTTAAACCCCTAAAACCCTAAACCCTAAACCCTAACCCCCTAAACCCCTAAAGCCCTACACCTTAGTTAGGGTTCAGGATTTTACGGTTTCTCCAGGAGTCGGAGCCGACCCTGAAGCCTTCACCTCTGAATCCGTAGCCGGCACTCTTGGGGGACTTTTGAGGGTTTAGGGTTTAGGGTTTTGGGTTTTGGGGTTTAGGGTTTAGGGTTTTGGGTTTTGGATTTAGGGTCTTGAGGGTTTAGGGTTTTGGGTTTTGGGTTTGGGGTTTAATTTGAGACACCCCAAACCAATTCTAACTACCAAGGGCTCATACGTTAGGTAACTGGCTTTGTTCATGCTTGGGAGAAGCAAGGTTTAAGGTTCATAGCATGTATACAGGAGCTCCTTATCAAGTCCCGAGATGCGCTGGACCCGTATTAGGGCCTGCGACAAACCTAAACCCTAAATTCAACACCCATATCCTAAAGACCCTAAACCCTTGTTCCTAAACCTTCGACCGTAGCCTTAAGTTTAGGGTTTAGGGGCTTAGGGCTTGGGGGCAGGATCCCCTAAAGATTTGAACCCCTAGTTCTCGTTCACAAACACCTAGTATATATTGCTGAGGGCATGGTGGCACAGCGCGATGGGGAGCTATCTGAGTCGCAGAAGGCGTGCCGTCTTTGTGACCGAAGGGGTTTTGGTTTTGAGGATTCATGGGTTTAGGGGTCCGGAGGTGAAGCTTGGAGGTTTAGGGTTTAGGGTTTAGGGTTTAGGGTTGGGGTGTAGGATGCAGAGTTCAGGGGGTAGGAGGTTGGGATTGAGGGTTTGGAGGGTTCAGAGGGTCAAGTCGTGGAGGAATGCTGCGGGGTTTTGTTGTTTCATCTAGTCTAGGATGTATGGCTGAGCGTAGAAGCCTAAAGATTTACCAATTTTTACTCCGTGGGTTACCATATTTGTATTCACATATATATCTATATATATAGAGAGAGAGAGAGAGACACACATATACACATGTTCTAGTAGTACGAGAACACTCCCACAACCCTCGTCTTAAGTGTGAAGGCACACCAACTCGGGGTTCAGTTTAAGGTCTTTGGAGGGTTTAGCAGGAAATTGACTGTAGGGTTTAGGGCTTAGGGTTTAGGGTTAACAAAAAAGGGTTGTTCTCTAAATTAGGGTCCTTTTTTAAGTACGGCACCCTTATCAAAAGCAGCCTAAAAGGGATCCTACTTTACAGGAACTACCCAGGTGCTGTTTTGTTTAGGATTGAGGGCGTAAGAGTTCGGAGTTTGGGGATGAGGAGTGTAGGGTTCGTCTAAGTGTGCAGGATGTGTGGTGGTGGGTTTGCGGGTTTAAGCTTTTGGATGTAGCAGGGCTCGTGCTTAGCCCATAGGCCCCATAGTAGTTCTTTTTTGGGGTTACCTTATAGGATTCTATATATAAACCCCCAAAAAGGAACTACATTAGGGCCTATGGGTAGTTTTGTTCTAGGAGGTGGAGCTCGAGGGTCCAGGGCTGTTGAGTTCAACGGTTTCTGATGTTTTGGTTTCAGATGTCGGGTCTCAGGTATAGGGTTTAGGTCTCAGGTATAGGGTTTGGGTCTCAGGTTTGGGGTTTGGGTCTCAGGTTTGGGGTTTAGGTCTCAGGTTTAGGGTTTAGGTCTCAGGTATAGGGTTTGGGTCTCAGGTTTGGGGTTTGGGTCTCAGGTTTGGGGTTTAGGTCTCAGGTTTAGGTGTTTAGGGTCTCAGGTTTAGGTGTTTCTTGCCTCATTTTGGATGTGATTCTAGGGTGTAGGGTTGGGATCGTCGCCGTCGGGTCCAGGAGTTTCATGCTTAGTCCTGAGCCACTATAAACTCTTCACCCCATAAACCCTAAACCCGTAAACCCATAAACCCATAAGCCCTTGACCCTGAAGCCTCAAACCCTGAAGCCCTAAACTCTTTAACAGCACCCCACCGGAGTTGTCAGAAATTTCTGCAAAGCCGCTAGCATGCTGGGGTCTGAAGGCTCAGTGCTTCGTGCCTGAGGTAAAATCAAATGCAGGGCAGAGTGGGATTTTGCAAATACCGGAGGCGCGAGAATTACGTTCCGGCAAGTGGGAGGGTCCGGGAGGGGGGAGTATAAAGATGAGGTCAACATTATATATTTTGCACTGCGCAAACAGGCGAGACCGAGGTCCGGCGCCTTCGCACAGAACTTCATTCCGAACGCCGAAGACGGGAAGCGCTCGCAGAAGCACTGAAACAAAACGAGCCCCTAGCACAATGACCTGCAATGCTTGGAGGTTCATGGGTAGTCATAAGTGGGGTTATAAGTAGGGTAGCTATTTTAGCTATAACCCAGATTAGGGGACTTATCATCCCACTTACAACTACCCATGAACCTGCAAGTGCAAGAGGGAGTTGAGGTGAGCCCTGGGTGCTGCCGTCGCGACGGCCAGGCCGCAACATGTGGCACCGACGGGACTGGCACCTCGCCCCGGTGCCAGAGACGCGGGGCATGTTCTGAGCGCAGGTGAGGTCAGCCTTGAAGCATTCAGCACCGGTGCCGACGAGCGCCTGAACTTAGGGTTTAGGGTTTTGGGGTTTGCGAAAGCTCCACGATCACCGCTGCTTTTCGAAAAAACAGAATCTGCTTCCCAAACCCACAAGCAGAACACCTCCAAGCGAAAAGACATGGAACAGCTGTGAATTCTCATGTTTTCGTAGAACCCGTCCTGTCGGGTTCACGACGGGGTTGCGAGCATACGGTCTCCGCAAAGGAAGGAACCAAGAACACAAGGCTTGCATGCACCGAGTCATAAGCCTTCTTTCCCAGCTTTTGCAAGGGCTGTAAGGTCTCAAACCCGAAACCCTTAAACCCTCCACACTCAGCCCTTTGGGTTCAGGATTTGTGTGAAAGCTCTCGGGGCTTCACGTTGAATGATCATCCCAGGCCGAACCCCACACGTTTCAGCCCAGACCTCCTGGAGGTTAAGGTTTAGAAGTTTAGGTTTAGGCTTTAGAGGTTCGGGTTTAGAGGTTTAGGTTTAGGGTTTACCTTAAGAACCCAAAACCTATTTTTTTTGTAGGGTCTCTATAAATCCCATATTCGGGTTTATAATAAGAACCTACAAAAAAGTGGGTTTTGGGTTCTTAAGGTAGAGGTTCGGGTTTAGGGGTGCCGTCTGGAGCTGCTCTCAGGAGTTTGCCGAGATGAAGACGGCGCTGGCGAGCTTCCAAAGCGAGGCCGCAACCAGGACCCCCCCCAAGTCCCTTTAATAGAGCCCTTATGGACCTTCATAGTGCATATTTCGGGTCTATTTGGGGATACTTGGGGGGTCTAGGAAGAGATGCTTCTGGGATTACTTGGCGGTTCATGGGTAGTTATAAGTGGGGTTATAAACCCCCTAATAGGGGTTAAAACTATAGTTACCCTACTTATAAGCCCACTTCTAACTACCCATGAACCTTGAAGTAGGGCTTAGTTTGAGAGGGGCACTTAGGGGAAGACTGAGCCCCTACTGGGTCTTGGACGCATAGGAATCCGGGTTGAGAGCGCCCTAAACCCTAAACCCAAAACCCAAAACCCTAAACCCTAGCCCGGACAGCGTGAGTCCTTGAGACCCACAGTCGGAACGCAGGGTCCCGAAAGCCTAGGCCCATCAGAGTCACAGCTCCAAAGCACCACAAACCCCAAGCCAAGACTGTCTGGTGCTTCGTAGGGAATGGGGGAATGGGTTTTTTGGGACTACTCTAAGGGACCTTAAGCGACTATCATAGGGATCCATTCCCCCAGTCCCTACTAAGCACCGGGCAGAAGAGCACACTCCAAAGCTCCCAAGGGTATAAGCGGTATAAGCCAACAAAAGCCTCAGCAGCCTCCTGAACCCCAAGCGCCCTAAACCCCAAACCCTTACCGGCCCTAACCTCTAAACCCCAGAACCCCAGAACCCCTAAACCCCTAACGCCTACCCTAAACCCTGAACCCTAAATTCCAAACCCCTAAATCCTCAACTCCCTAAGCCCTAAACCCCTAAGCCCCAGAACCCCTAAACCCCAAAATGCTAGAACCCTGAACCCGGGACCCCCAAACCCTCAACCCATAAGCCCTAAACCCTCAAAGGAGCCGTTGAGGTTCTTTGTAAAGGAGTTTTTATGGGAACATGGAGCCTTAAGGCTTCGAGAACTTCATTCTTCAACCCCAAGCCCTGGCACAGAAACTTCCTGAACCCTAAACCCTAAACCCTAAACCCTAAACTCTAAACTCTATAAACCCTAAACTCTAAACTCTATAAACCCTAAACCCTAAACTCTAAACCCTAAACCCTAAACCTTAAACTCTAAACCCTAAACTCTATAAACACTAAACCCTAAACCCTATAACCCTGAACCCTCAAACCCTGCTCGAGGCTCGGAGCTCGGAAAAGACGGCCGCCTCCGAAAGAGAGTGCTTGTGGCCCCAAGGCGGTTTAAGGGTTTTGGGGTTTCAGGGGCTGAGGGTTTTAGGTAAGGTTTAGAGATTTAGGGTTTTAGAGTTGAGTGCTTGTGGCCTCAAGGGGGTTTCGGGGTTTACGGGTTTACGGGTTTTAGGGGTTGAGGGGTTTCAGGGTTGAGGGGTTTAGGGTTTTAGGGTTGAGGGGTTCAGGGTTGAGGGGTTTAGGATTTTAGGGTTGAGGGGTTTAGGGTTGAGGGGTTCAGGGGTTTAGGGTTTCAGGGGTTGAGGGGTTTCAGGGTTTAGGGGTTTAGGGTTGAGGGGTTTCAGGGTTGAGGGGTTGAGGGGTTTAGGGCTTAAGGGGTTTAAGGGGTTTAGGGTTTCAGGGTTTAAGGGGTTGAGGGGTTCAGGGTTTAGGGGTTGAGGGGCTTAGGGGTTTAGAGATTTAGGGTTTCAGGGCTTCAGGGGTTGAGGGGTTTCAGGGTTTTGGGTTGAGGGGTTTCAGGGTCTAGGGTTTAGGAGTGCCAGAGGCCCAAGGACTCTCGGGGCTTGAAAAGGGTGGGTTGAGGGTTGAGGGCCTCCGAGGGAGAGGGGCTTCGTTATTTTGTGATTTGGGGGATCAAGGAGCCTTCGGATTTAGGATTTATTTAATGTTTACGGGCTCGGCTGGGGTCTGAAATTCGGGCTAAGGCTGGACTAGGGCCTACGTTCTATGTCACGCGATCCTGCTTCGATGGGGTTCTTGGCCCAGGGCTCGAAGGTAGGGTGTAGTAGGCCGTAGGGAGTGCGATGGCTTAAAGGGGTTAAATTTAGCGTTCAGGTTTTTAGGGCTCGGTTAAGGATGACTTCACGATCTCGCTTGTGGTGTGGCGACATTTTGTAGCTTCCTGGTCAATATCGTGAGCTCCCCCGGAGGGAGGCCAAAACTTACACCGTGAATCCTAAGACCTTAAACTAAGCAGATCCTAAACTGTAGGTAAACCCCTAAACCCTAAACCCTGAAGCCCATGTCCCGAGACCCCCAAACCCTAATGTGGTGCGGCGCGGCTATACTAGTCTGGGGTGTCTTAATTAGTTTAGAAGTTTAGAATCAGTAGTATTTATTTCCCACCCCAAAACCCTAAACCCTAAATTATCAGTTTTACCCACCCCCTAGTTCAAACCCCAAAACCCCAAACCCTAAACCCTGAACCCGCCTCTGCTGGCAACGAGTTTGAACCACCACCCCTTTTTTGGGGCCAGGCACGTTTTCATGCACCAACCCTTCTTTCCGCACCAAACGGTGCCGAACTTGCACCAAAGCAGTCTTGGGCTCACCAAGACTGCATGGAGGCCTCACCAAAACAAGGCAGAGCCACTCACCAAGAAGCTTCACTCACCAAGAAGCTCCTCCACCAACCTCGAGCTACGGCGGCTTCCGAGCCGACCCCTGCCGAGCGGCGCGCCCATCGCCAAAGGGCAGCCCAGGCTGGACCGTGAGACGCTCCCAGGGGCCGGACTCAGTAATCCTCGCCCATTCTTTCAGGATGCAATAATCCTCACTACCTGAAGACTCTCGGTGCAGTGGGCATCTTCTACACCCTACAACCCTATGAACCTTAATTAATATGAAAACTAAACCCAAAACATACCAGCCCTATACACCTTTACATCCTTCAAACGTCGTTGCGTGCCTGTGCCACAACCCGGAGGTGACAGAGCTGCTGATCGAGCACGACGCCACGCCAACCCTTGTCTGTCCCAACTCCACGTGCCGCGCGACCACACCTGCTCTAGCGCAGCCAAACCCAGCCTAAACCCCTAAACCCTGAACCCCTCAACCCCTAATCCACCCCCCAAAAGCCTCGGCGAATTCTTAAGGCCCCTACACCGCCTTGTAGCCGAAAAGACCTACTTTTTAGGGTTCCTTATTCTGGTTCCTGTATATAGTTCCCTAAGCCTAAACCCTATAAACCGTAGGTCCTTTGGGCCAGAGGTAATGGGGTTCCTTTGAGGGGATCCCAAGCAGTCCCATGAGGCTTCCTTGAAGGGGATCTCTAGGACTCTTTGGGTCCTATAAGGCTTCGCTTACGGGGGGATACTTGCCCAAACTTAGGGTTTAGGATATAGGACTTAAAGTTTAGGGTTTAATAGCAACTCCGATTGTAGAAACCCTACATTCTACTATATAAGTACTTAAGGACCCTTTGGGTTTTGCATCAGGCCGAAAGCTAAACCTGGAGTCCGCCATGAAGTTGAAAGTTCAGGGTTCTCATTTTTCCCCAAAATCTCTTGTTGGGGTTGGATTCTTGTTTGGTCTTTCCTTCTTGCGGGGCAGCGTTCACAAAAGAACGTTTCATGGACGGGAAAGCTCTTTTCTCTGACCCTAACCCCCAGGTACCTACTATAGGGCCTTAGGGGCTCTAGTACCTCATATAGTAGGTACCTGGGGGTTAGGGTGGCTTGCAGGAGTTATCGGAGGAGTACCTGTCGCGCGAGAAGCGCTTAGCGCTCGCATCAGTCAGCAGCAGCACATTCCACGGCACCACATGAACCTCGCAACGGGATTTTGCGATTAGGTCAAGGACGGGGTCGGACGGCACGCAAGGCAATCGTCGCGGCAATGCTGGCCTTTCCATGCAGGAGCTGGCTGCATTGACCAACGAGGCGCTTAACAATTTCAAAAGCTACGAGTTTGGCTGCCCTTCTACAAACACCCCAGTTTCCAAAGACCTCGAACATCGTAAGCGAAGATGATCCCCAAGCCCCAAACCCTAACTCCTAATGAAACCCTAAACCTCAACTTCATGGCGAACCTTGGACCCCGCGAAGCCCTAAATCCCAAAGCCAGTAAGGTTGCGAGATGCTCCTCCATCAGCTGGAGGAGATCACTCTTCAGCCAGTTGCCCCAGTTAAGGCGGATCAACCCTAAACCCTAGACCCTAAAAGCCCGAGTCGGGTTGTCCCGAGATTTAAGGCTGTAAGGGCATCCTCCAGGATTGATCTATAGGAGCCGAGCCATCCCTACCAACACCCTAAACTCTGAACCCTAAACCCCAATCCTAAACACCGTAAACCCTAGACCCTAAACCCAAACCCTAAACCCTGCGTTACTGTAACCTTCACTGTTGAGGCGCCGATGTTTCGTTCCAGGGTTTAGGATCTTCGTCTTGGCTTCCGGCTCGGCACTAAGATCACTTTACACCCAAGCCCATGGTTCTTCCATTCAAGTTTCTTCATGCTGATGCATTGATGATTTTGCTCACTTTATTGATAGAGATTTTGTGGTTCATGACCTCGACCCACCAGCTACAATCTGTTTGCGCACCTTGTCATCTATACTACGCAATGGGTGACGGGATGTCCTGATAGTGGGCGTTCTTGAGAATTGCTACTATATTTCAGTATCCCTTTAACAGAAAACAGCTGCTTCAGGCTGTCCAAGAAGCCTAAACCCAAACCACGAAGCTGCCAAGCCTTGAACCCTAAGCCTAGAACCTTGGCTACCCTAAAGCCGTAAAGCCCTAAGCACCTCAAACCCTACAGCTCCAAAGCCCCATTATCAAGCGGTGAAGCCTTAAACAGCTTGCCTGCCTTGACCTCGTTTTCATAAGAGGATCTTGAGGCACATGGTCCAATGGTCCTTCTTATTATTGAGGCTTTGTTCAAGGCACTGCATGCTATAGTAGGCGGGTTGACAGCAGGGACGAAGTATCAGCAGATGACTTCTCCGCCGCTGGCTCAATTGGGACCAGAACTGGAAGCTTTTCACAAAGCGCTTCACAGTTTTCGGCAAGGTCCTACGATTCCATCAACGTACCCAAAGGCCCGTAGAGGCCGGGTCAGGGGCAGCCCAGCCGTCGCTGGACAACCACGAAGCTCCGCCAGAGGCGGACCTTCGTAGGCTCCGCTTCCAGCGGGGCTTCTCGAAATTGCTCGAGGAGGCTCAGCCCTTTGACGAATCTTTGGGTTGTTGTTCTGCGTGGGATTCTGGAGGGCTTCGGGACTAAACCCTAAACCCTGAACCCCAACCCTACTGCTGGGATATCCTCTGGACGGAGACAGGACTGGATTTTTGAAGGTCCTCCGAGGCGAATATCGACGTCCGACATGCAAGTGATGTCACTGGTGCTCGGCAATCACAGAATCCAAAACTTCGTATAGAAGCCTAAATAAATGCCTATACTCTGTTGGGGGGTTTCTTAAATTATAACTATAGTAGAACATACCCCAAAACCCTATTCTAATTATTAAGGCCCCTAAACCCTGAACCCTTATAGTAGCCCTTATTGAGGAAATGGGTCGCCGTTTGCATGGAACCAGGGCTCTCGGTCCAGATCATGCACAGGTTTTTCGGCCCGCCTGTGTGCTCAAGACAAAGGCTACGAAGGAGATGTCTTGGGCTACAGCAGTTTTTTTAGACAGCAGGCTATAGAAGCCTTTAGCTGCGTGAGCTTAAGCTGACAGGTGCTAAGTACGTCTGCGGCAAGTTCGACTATGTACGTTGTTCGCTTGTGAAAAAGAGATGCAATTCGATGAACCGCGCTGCCATGGCCTGAACTGTTGTCCTTCGACTACAGCTTAGACGGCTGTGTGGTTTTTGAGGTTATGAGTGCCCAAGCAGGCGCTGCCTCTCCGCTACTAAATGGTACAGTAAGACCGCAGGATGAGGCGGCTGTATCGGGACCTGTGGTGCACTTGAATGATGAGCATGCAGGTATTCCTACAGTGCCTTTTCAGACGGCAGAAGGTTTTCTGGATGGTGATCAAGCCCGTATGCAAGTGTTAGACCCTGGGATTCAAGCTGCTCAGCAAGGAGTTTCAGTGGAAGAGCAAACTGCGGAAAAGGTCACGGAGATGTGCGAGGACACAGCTAGGGATTCAGCTTTGGCTGGGCCCTCGACAGTGGAGCTGGAGGTCGGCATGCAAATCGGCGCCCAAGGAGCTGACATTGCGGCAGAGTTGCCACGGTCGAGTGCAAGCGTGGAGCCTGGTCTAGCTGTGGAGGCGGGTGGTCAAGATCCCATTCCTGGGTTCCAGACACCCCGGTCTACGATGAGCTCAGCCCGTGGCGGCGTTTCTTCTTTAAGGTCTGGACCGCCGGGGCAATGGCCTGGATGGGTTACTCGTCTTGGTGATCTGTTCAAGGCGCCTTCGATACCAACAACATGGTTGCCACCGAGTCCGCTGCCAAGTTCTCCACCGGTGGGTGCCCTCGGTGGTGGTATTTCTGCGACAACCTTGAGGTCTGTGATAGCTGATGAAAGGGCGAGTCACAGGGTTGCCTCCAAGCCAAAGGGGATAACTACGCCAAGTAGCAGCAGTGTTCCGGCAGAGGCTATTCAGGCGGAAGTGCAGAGACAAATGGGGTCCTTGTTGAGCCGTCTTACAGAGGTGGAGAATGATAATGCGCAGCTGCAACTGGAGCTGAAGATGGAGAGATCAAGAATGCAGAGGTTGCAACAGACCGCTTCGGGATCTGCTGGTGATCTACCAAGGGGAGAAGGTCCTAAGGAACCCGAAGGCTCTACTGTACCTAGAGGTTATGTTCGAGAGCGAGATCAAGGTGCAGGAGCTCGAAGATGGCTTCCTTCAGCTTTACCTCGAGTACCAGAGCCCGGAGTGCCCAAGTCCTCGCACGAAGGCGGTGGGGACCAGTGGAGCAAGCTGTGGGAAGGGATTACAGGAAAGCCTGCAAAGGGGCCTAACACAGATGAAAGGCCGGAGCGATCAGCGACGTTCCCGGAGTCGACCACCAGCATTCCTCACCATGGTGCTGGTCAGCCTGAACTTGGCGGATCAGGGAGAGATGGCCTGGGAGTGATTGAAGCTTTGGCTCAGAGTATGCGTCAAATACAAGAGCTACAGGTGAAGGCGTTGGCCAAGAATCAGGTAGATGACGAGGCCCCGGAGATGGTTAAAACAGCAGTTACATCGCTTCCGCCACTTGGAGTACCTGAAGGAGATCAATGTGGGCTCTTGTTTCAGGATTGGATGACGCAAGTGACTACTTCAATGCAGGACCTGTCTGCAGGCTCAGGTATGTGGTGGGAAGCAGTAAAGAAGGCTGTAATTACCGCGTACTCAAGATGGCTGGGATCTACTCCACTCGAGCGACTCAGCATTGAGCCAGCAGCAGCGCATGAGTTGGTGGAGGGGAAATGGATTCGGGTCAATGCTAGAGCCTGCGCTATGGTCGTGCAGTCAGTGCCTGAAGCAGTGAGGACGGATTTGATTGCAAGAAGATCGACGCAGAGTATGCCGTTACTGTTGTTTAGACTCTACACGCTGTATCAACCGGGAGGAGCAGGAGAGCGGGCAACGATATTGCAGAAGCTCCAAGGTGCCGAAGTTCCTGGAACGACAGAGGAGTGCTTACGACAGTTAAGAGCATGGCCACGATGGCTGCAAAGATGCCAGGACATGGGCATGTCAGTGCCAGATGGAACGGTGTTGGCTAGAGGTTTGACGACATTGACTACAACTACTGTTGGAAGGGTGCCGGATGCAATGTTCAGAACACAGCTGGTTCGAGCAACGCTGCGTATAGACCAGCAGCCAAGTCTACAGGACGTCTTGAAGTACCAGCAGCACTTGCAAGCAGAAGTAGAGAACATAGCGTCGGCGGCTACTACAAGTAATCCAGCAGTGCGTGCGATGTCAACCTCGGGAGGAACGTCACCTACTACAAGTACTACCAAGCCCGCGTGCAAGTATTTTTTACGCCCTGCAGGATGCCGTCGTGGAGGTAAATGTCCATATCCTCATGACCTTTCAGGACTTGCTAAGGCAGAGAGAGCTAAGAAATGTCTTGCATGTGGAGCAGAAGATCATCGACAAAGAGACTGCCCTACAAAGTCAGCGAGGCCGGGTGGTGGGAGAAGCTCAACAGCTGACTCGCCCAAGGCAGGTGACCAGAGACAAAGGGTAAGTGCTGAGCCAGAGAGCGAGACGTCACCTAAGTCAGTGGCAACGATGGAAACGACAGGACAGCCAATCCTGTCATGGGAAGCCCTTCTACAAGCAGCAGCAAAGGTGGCTGGAGCAGCGCCGTCGGAGCCAAAGGCTCCGTCGATCAAGGTTTTGTCGCTGCACAGTGGCCCAAGCGGTGGGAAGCATGAGACTGCCTATGCCTTGGTTGACTCAGGTGCTACACATCCACTACGACGAGCCTCTGGAATTGGGGAGTGGCAAGCTGCAAGTCCGGTTGTGGTTCACTTAGCAGGAGGAGAAGTGGTGGAACTTCGAATGAACTCGGCGGGCACCTTGTTGGTGCCTAGCTCAGGGATGACGAGAACAACGTCCACAGCGCCAATAGTTCCTTTAGGGTCACTGGTTGGAGTGCTGGGATACCGAATGGAGTGGCATGGGTCAAGGTGTCGCCTAACTAGCCGTGAAGGTGATGTTCTTAACCTACGAGTACGTGATGGATGCCCGGAGGTAACGGAGCAGCAAGCCCTCGACCTTATTGCAAAGATCGAAGACAAAAAGCTCCAAACTTTGAGAACATCTACAGAAGCCACAAGAGGAGCTGTGAGGGAATCAATGTTGGTGCTGAATCGATCATGGTTCGACCACCTGATTTCCTATTGTCGCTCGGGGATAGGATCTGAGGCCTTATCTGCAATCCAGTCCGCGCCTTTCTTTCAGGAAGTTCCACAGGAAGCACTTCGAGGACTCAGTGAGGCGGATCCAATCTCGAATGGATGGGATGCTCTTCGTGGGTTGCAGCACCTCAACAGAAGAACTCGGAAGAAGCTGTGGGCATCAAAGAACTGGGTGGTTCATTTGTTTGCAGGGAAGAAGCAGAATGAGGAGGTTATGTTTTTGGAGCGACAAGGTTTTGCAGTTCTGGAGCTGGATATCGAAAGGGGGAAATCGCATGATATATGCAATCCTCTAGTGTGGAGAGCTATAGAGTGGGCGGCGCGCAATGGTCGTATCTCTACAGTGATTGGGGGACCCCCGCAATCAACGTTTATGCTCCGAAGATCTATGAGACCTGGTCCAGAAGCCCTCAGAAGCAATGAGTTCCCGTATGGTGGATGGAATGGACAGCCGGACAAAGACAGAAGAGTGGTAGATCGACACACTGGACTCTTTGCCAAGATGGTTTACCTTCATGCTTTAGCAACAGCTGGACGATGTGCTTATCCAAGCGAGCCGGGCGACTTCAAGGAGGTGGGTTTCATGTTGGAGCAACCTCGAGATCCACGGGGTTATCTTTTGTTTTCAGATCCACTGGCAGTTGATGCAGTAAGTTTTTGGCGGACCAGTCTGTGGATACTGTATGCAGAAGAAGCTGGATTGAGCACCTTCAGTTTTGATATGTCCTCATTGGGAAAGGCTTTGTCAAGGCAGACCACAGTTGGCACCAATCTTCCTTTGAGACAGATAGACGGCTTGAAGGGTCGAGTACAAGATGATCCTTATCCGCCTGTGCGCGCTCCACCTTCGGTATGGACACGAGAGTTCTCTGAGATTGTGTCGATTGCAGTCAGGGAGCAAAGGATCACGCCGAGAATGTTGAAGATGTCGGCGGAGCAGTGGAAAGAGCATGTTCGGAAGGGTCACTTACCGTTCAGGTCGGACTGCATGACCTGCGTAACTGCAGGAGCCACGGGACGGCGACACTCTCGGGTGGAGCACCCTAGTTGTTTTGTGCTATCTGCTGATGTCAGTGGGCCTTTGAAAATTCCTGGGCTTGATGCAGATGCGCGTGGAGCCTTTCCGAAGCCGCACAAGTACATGTTTGTGGCAAAGCTCAAGGTCCCAAGAACTTTCATTGATGATGGAAGAGGCATAGCTGTTGATGTTGATCCAGGTGAACTCGAAGCAGATCTTCCACCTGAGGAAGGCTCGTTCGACTTTGAGGAGTTGAAGCCGGAGGAGGTTGAAGATGAATCTAAGAAAGTTCTGGGTGACATTGGTGGTGCTGATGAAGTTCCTGAAGGGGATGCTGAAGAGATAGACGATGAAGACGATCCTCAGCCTCCAGCGCCAGATCCAGGTGAAGCCCTTGATGTTACAGGTCCGGATACTGTGAACCTTGTGTTTGCAACGGCTATGATTGACAACAAAGGGGCTACGGTGTTGGAAGCCATTCAGGATGTGGTGATGTACTGCTGGTCCCTTAACATCCCTATTGTGAGATTCCACTGCGATCGAGGAATGGAGTTCTATGCGAAAGCTACAAGACAGTGGGTCAAATACCATGGGATGAGATTCACTACCAGTGAAGGGGGTTTGCACCAGCAGAATGGCATGGTGGAGAATGCAGTTCGCTATATCAAGCAGAGAGCGAGGACGCTACTCATCGGTGCCAAGTTACCTCAGCGTCTATGGCCTCAAGCAATCACGATGGCGGCGTCTATGCAAAGGGCCTCAGTCTTGGGAATGGAAACTAGATTGGCGGCTCCTTTCGGGGCCAAAGTGCTGGTTAGACGCAGGGAATACGGTGGGACTGCAGAGCCGGGAAAACCAGATGATCTCGCGCCAAGGTGGCTTGAAGGTAGATATTTGGGACTTTCTGAAACAGTTCGTCGTGGACATTTGGTCTACTTGTCGGGTGATGATGGGGAGAAGTTTATCCACACAGTGAATGTACGTGTTGGCCTGGAAGATCAACCGCCTCCTGGACCAGAAGTTGAAGCTGATCTTCCTGGACCACCAAGCAGGCGACTTCGAGGTAAAGCCAGTGGAAGCGGGGATGTGGTGTCGGTTTCCAAGGCTGAAACGGTGGTTGGAAGTGAAGAGTTGAAGCTCAGAGCTCAGAAGCTACTGGAAGAATGGTCCCAGGAGGAGGCGGAGAAGCTGTTGATCCATGTTGCACTCAGTTTGAACCCTAATGATCGGGTGTTTGGTGTATTTAGACATGGAGGTCGAGTCGGCTTGACCAAGGCTACCTACGATCATCCATGGATAGCGGAGATCTTCGTCAAGGCTATGGTGGGAAGATGCCCAGAAGCTGAGTTCTCTGCGGTGTATGTTTCAGTAAATACAACCCGGGAGATCCACATCGATAGCAACAACCTTACTGGGATGTCGAACTACGTGTACCCTTTGGCAATGCCCTCCAAGGGTGGAGGTTTATGGATTGAGCTAGCCGACGGGGATGTGGTTCGAGGGAAGATTGTTGAGATGCAGGACAAGAAAGGCCATGGTCATTTCGGTTGTGTTCAGCCTCTTCTACCAGGTCATGTGGTGTCCTTCAATCCTCATCGTCGACATGCTGTACTACCGTGGAAGGGACTAAGGGTGGTGTTCGTAGGATATACACCTGGAGTTCCCCAAAATTTGCTGGGTCCTGAACGAGAAGTTTTGAGCAGGCTGGGATTTCCAGTTCCATCAGAAGTTGAGCAGTCATCTCCGTTTGTGGCGTTGCGAGTACTTTCAGTGGGTGAGTCGGAGGATAAGAGTCTTCTTCAGGAGGAGATCGAGCCGCAAGAGCTTGAACAAGGCAGCGCAATTGCTATTTCGGATGGCTCGGTGCTATTTCATGAAGTACCTCGAGGAGAAGAGTATGGTGCTCCAGCAGAAGATGCTTTAGTTGGAAGGACCGAGGAGTTGGACTGTTGGGATATGTATCTGCCGCTTGCTGAAGGTGATCCTCAGAAAGTTCCGAAGGCTATGATTGCATCATCAGTGGGTGTTCCGGTAGTGGCTAAGACCGAGGTCGCTTACACCAAAGGTATTGAAGTTCTGTTGAGCAATCTGCAAAGCCCTTTGACAATCGTTCATACAGTTGATCCAGCAGAAGCAGCAGCTTCGTTTAAGGAGTGGGTCAAGCCGGCGGAGAAGGAGATTTCGTCGTTTGACAAGGCGGCGAAGAAGGTCCTCAGCAGTGATCCGCAGATCATTGCAGATCTTAGAAGTGGAAAGGCGAAGATTGTGCCAATGAAGGTTGTGTACACCGTAAAGCCACCGTCTGAAGAAGCAGCGCTGGAAGGGCAACTTTACCGCCGCAAGGTACGGATCGTTGCATGTGGCAACATGATGGCAGAAAGTGGGGAAGACACCTACGCCGCTGCAGCCCCAGCGGAAGTGGTTCGATCTTCTTTGTCGGTGGCAAGTATGTACAACTGGGATGCTGCAGTACTGGACGTTACAGCGGCGTTTCTACAGACTCCGCTAAGTGAGGTGCGATGTCAGCAAAGGATCCTTGGGCAGCCTCCCAGAGCATTGGTTCGAGCGGGACTATGTGGTGAAAAAGAACTGTGGGAGTTTACTCATGCAGTTTATGGGCTCCGGGAGTCTCCCCGTTGGTGGGGGGAGTTCAGAGACAGCCAAATGGCCCAGCTCAATATTGTGGTTGGGTCCAAGAGGATCCAGCTTCTTCAATGTCGAGTTGAAGGGAGTTGGTGGAGGCTGGTCGATGATCGAGCGTTGGTTGGACTGGTTGTCATCTACGTCGACGACTTACTTATCTGCTCTACCCCTACGATCATAAAGGCTGTGTCGGATGCAGTAAAGTCTCTTTGGGAAACAAGCTCTTTGTCATGGGCATCAGAAGGGGGAATCCGTTTCTTGGGCATAGAAATCTCCAAGGTCGAAGGCGGCTTTGCGTTGAACCAGGAGCCGTATATCAAGGAGCTCACACGGATTCATTCCATTGCAGTGACCCAGCGAGACTTAGTGCCGGTCTCAAAAGAGATGTCAAGCTTTACTGCAGAATCTGATGAAGCAGTATTCACAACCAGTGAGCTCCGCGAGGCACAGCAGGTTGCCGGTGAAGTGTTGTGGGTGTCGCAGAGGACGCGACCAGACATCGCGTATGTAGCCAGTCTCATCAGCTCCTTATCGGCACGTGCGCCGCGCAGAGCTGTAAAAATAGGGAGAAAATGCATGGGCTTCCTTCAGCGCACGGCCCAGCAGCATTTATGGATAAGGGCTACTTCACCCCAGCTAACAGCATGGACAGACGCATCATATGCACCTGACGGAGGTCGTTCCCATACAGGTTGGCTATTAACACTGGGTTCAGCGCCAATCAACTGGAGATCGGCGCGGCAAAGTACGATCACTTTGTCGACTGCAGAAAGTGAGCTTGGTGCCAGCGTGGAGGGAGCTTTGGCACTTATCTCGGCAGAAGCACTGTTATCAGAACTGGACTTAGATATGGCACAGTCGAGATTGCGCACAGACAGTACCAGTTCCCTCGCAATACAGCGTGGTTCAGGATCTTGGCGTACTCGTCACTTACGCATCAAGGCAGGTTGGATCTGCGAAAGATTGGAGGCCGGGGATTTAGAATTGGAACATTGGCCTGGAGAACGACAACTAGCCGATATTCTTACGAAGCCGTTGTCCTCTATGCGGATAAGGCAGTTGTCTCAGCTGATGGGATTGATGAGCTTGGAGGAGATCGCGGAATATGTCAATCTGGAGCAGGTGCGTGGAAATAGTACAACAAGAGCAGGACAGCACCTCAATGGTTTTAAGGTTTTGGTGGCTATGATGGTTTTATCACAAGCAGTCTCAGCGCAAGACCCAGCAGGGATGGCTATTTATGAGCCAATGGCGGTGGATCGGGGATTGATGGTGTGGTGTGTGTTTGCAATGATTGCTTTGTTATGGACAGCAGCCTGGGAATTGATCAAGTACGCTGGATGGCAAATTTACTTCTCAGCAACCCCTGGGGCAAGTTCGCGAAGGTTGAGGAGATTGCAGAGGATCCGAGATACAACCACAGAAGCAATCAGATGCGAGCTCACAAGAAGTAGGTCAGCTGGAGATGAGAATTTTTCAGTTGAGAGACGAAGGGCTCAGGATGCAGAAAGGAACTACGAAAGTTCGTCAAGCAGCCGAGGAAGAGGAGAGTCAACGTCAAGAATCCCTAACACCCCTATAGCTTCACGGAGAACGGTGTATCAAAGCGATCAAAGGGACAGGGCTGTGCAGACCACTGGACCTGCTTTCGCTCCTTCTGTTCCGGAGGTGAGGACGGAGGTCAGGCGTGAAGTACAAGTTCCTGAAAATGTTCATGTTGTTCCGGGCAATCAGTGCTTTCACTTGTTTAATCCTTGTCATGCGTTCCGACATCGAGGTACTCAAGAGAGGGTGCAAACTTTGAGGATTTGCGAATATTGTGTTCGTCATCGTGGACGGAATCCTCAGTCGCCTACGCCACAGCAGAGCCTTGATGAAATCCTGAGAGCCGGGATGATGCCAAATTTCGACCGACCAGGGGCTAACCTGGGATAATCAAGATGGGACTAGCGTCCATCTGGAGGAGGAGTGAGGAAATGGGTCGCCGTTTGCATGGAACCAGGGCTCTCGGTCCAGATCATGCACAGGTTTTTCGGCCCGCCTGTGTGCTCAAGACAAAGGCTACGAAGGAGATGTCTTGGGCTACAGCAGTTTTTTTAGACAGCAGGCTATAGAAGCCTTTAGCTGCGTGAGCTTAAGCTGACAGGTGCTAAGTACGTCTGCGGCAAGTTCGACTATGTACGTTGTTCGCTTGTGAAAAAGAGATGCAATTCGATGAACCGCGCTGCCATGGCCTGAACTGTTGTCCTTCGACTACAGCTTAGACGGCTGTGTGGTTTTTGACTTATGGTATCCCTTAAAGGAATCCTTAAAAGGAGCCCCAAAACCCTAGTCCAATGATTTAAACGCGCCCTACATTAGCTGATCAGCTGCTTGGGTCCCTGCCGGGCCGCTTGAGGCTTTCAACGCCAAGGGGAACTGCTCTAAAGATCAGGGAAATCCCTACTATAGCGGCTTAATGATTAGAATAGGGTTTGGGGTATATTATACTTATACTATAATTATAATAAGGAACCTCCTGAACTCTACCACTATCCTTTCAAGAACTGTGATGGGCTTTCATTGTTGTTATCTCCAGACTATGCGTGCTTCCTTGTCGCTCCGTTTCTGTTTCTGCTCTCACCTCTATCTCTCTCTTTGGCTCTGGCCTAGATAGATAGTTAGATAGGTAAATCGATAATCAGACAGGTAGGTAGATAGATAGTGTAGACAGGCCGAGAGGCAGGTAGACAGATAGATAGAGATGTAGATGGACATGCGCCTGCGCATGCACGTAAGCTTGAGCAGAGCCGAAGTAGGTTGCAGGCTTAAGGTTAGGTTTACATAGGCCTGATTGCAGCGGAAATTCTTGTGGGACCTGCTACCGGCCAATAACATAAAAAAGGGAGTCTCGCGTCCACGCTATCATGCAAGCAGCGATTTCCGTAAATCCAATCCGCTCGAATACCAACATGCCTTACCCTAAACCCCAGAAAGTTGGAACATGGGTTTAGGACGATTTGTGCTAGGATGCTTTATGCTTTACTTTAAGGGCATGAGGATAATGATGTTCCAACTCTATGGCTTCTAGGATAAACCAGTTTACACCATCAATAGAGAACCTTGAACCCTCAGCCCAGACGCCTCAAACCCTAAGCTATAAAGCTTTCAACCGACTAAGTGCGAGGCCCTAAACCTACAGAAAAGTAGATTATGGTAGTTCAAAGTATCCCTAAACTGTAGCCCCAAGTACTACGAGGCTTACAGCAGAAGCCAAAAAGTTGGAACATCATTATCCTCATGCCCTTAAGGTAAAGTATAGGGGATCCCAGCACTACTCATCCTAAATCCATGTTCCAACTTTCTGGGATTCACTTCAAACTCCAGCCCCCTAAACCCTAACCCCCTAGACCCCAAACCCTAAACACCCAGACCGTAACCCCTAGACCCTAAACCCTAAACCCCCCTAAAGCCCTAACCCTAAACCCTAAAACCTAAAACCCCCGAAATCTCCGACAGCTTGTGCCCGAAATCCGGCACTTCTGATCTGAGGCCCTGGCCTAGTGTTTGGTCTGGGCTCAAGGGTTCTACAAGGATTCCTTACAGGCATCCTTAAAATGAAGGGTTGGGGTTTAGGGTTTACGGTTTAGGGGTTTAGGGTTTAGGGTTTAGGGGCGGTAAAGGCTAGAAGGGAAGACGGGTTCCTGAAAGCGCTCGAGATTGGTTTGGGTTTTTTACGTTTTGATTTGTCGAAGACTTAAATTAAGCCCTGCACTCTTCTCCCAGAATCTCGAACCCTCAACCCCGGACCATGGCTGCAACCCCAAAACCCTAAGCTGTGGTTTAGGGTTTAGGGGCTTAGCCAAAACTTAACCTCAGCACTACCTCTTGTCTCCACTGTAGTTCCTGTTGGGTGAATTTTTTGAATCCTAAATGTAGGATTGGCTAAATCACAACGAGGAATTACAACGGAGACTATAACTATTGGGTAATCTGTAATCTCCACAGTCGAGTGTAAGCTTACAACACACTAAAACCGCACGTCCATAAATCGTAAGCCCCACAATCCAGAGGTTTAGGGTATGGGCCTAAACCCTAACCCTAAACCCCTAAACCCTAAACCCCTAAACCCTGAACCCAAAACCCTAAACCCCTAAAGTGTTTCTCCGCAAAGGTCCATCAGCACGCCAAGAGTCGAACCTCCTGAGGTCACACGGGGGTTTAGGGTTCAGGACTTCATAGCTTTAGGGGAATTCGAAAAGTTGAAATATCATACAAAGGGATTCGATATCATGGGGTTATTAAATAACTTAGACTTAAGAACTCGAGTGAAATACAACTTCCGGCTCCATACTAAGAATCTCAAACTACAAGCTAAGACACTCACTCAATCATCTGATCCTTCAGCCTTCATACCGAAAATGCTAAACCCTAATCCCAAAAAGCTTAACTCCCAAACCCCTCATCTGAACACAAAACTCCTGACGCTTCTAGGAACCCTTCGTCACAACCGTGTACAAGCCCTATTAAAGCTTTGGGGTTCGGCGCCAGCAACTCGAAAACTCTTGGCCGTGCAGTGCCTCACATTTATCACCCACTGCAAGACCCCCGACCCTATAAACCCCAAACCGCAAAAGACCAGAGCCCTAAATCCACAAAAGCTTTCAATAACCTCCCAGCAAGCTCTGAATTCCGCCCAAATCCTTCAAGTAGATCCCTGAGCCCCATACGGCATAAGCCTACATCGAGGTCCGTCTAAATACCCCGTTAAAGATACATAGGTGTATAAATAAATAACTATAGCCAAACAAATACGAAAGCAAGTTATGCCGATATATTTATAGACACACATACACATAGACGTATGTATCTATTTACTTACTTATTTATTCAGTATCTTTTAAATATTGTTTATGTTTTGCTTGATATATATATATATATATATATATTTATGTATGTATTTATAGTGCAAGATTATATTGAAGCACCCCAGTCCAATGATCAAGGCCCAAATCACAGAAACTAACTGCAGCCCCGTAGCTTCATTGCATTTTAAACCCTGAGCCGTACCAGGACGCCCCATTTAAGTGCCCTTTAACAGAGCCCTTACGGTCTTTAATCGTGGGCATTTAGGGTATACTAGAGGGTAGTTGGGGGGTCTTGGTAAACAAGTCTGAACCCTGAACCCCTAAACCCTATACCCTGAACCCTGACCGCCCGAACCCTAAACCCTAAACCCCTGAACCCCCGGAACCCTAATTTCCGGGAGGTCCAGAGGCTGCGTGATGAGTTGTCCTCTTTGCAGGTGCGCTTGGGGGGTGGTTCAGCGTTTAGGGTTTAGGGTGTGAAGGCTTGTCGAGTTGAAATTTTGTTTGGCATAGAGTAGTTTGTCTAACCCCAAACCCTACAAATCCCAGACCCCTCAACCTAAAGTGGCCCTAAACCCGAATACGGTTTCGGGGTGGTGAGGTGTGCAGGCTACATACGAGTCTTTGGGCTGTTGCTGCTTCTGGCACAGGTGGGACCTACCTAGTTCAACCTCACACGAGCAATTCCTAGGTTGGCGGCATCTGTCTTCGTGGTTCCTCGTCCCATCAAGCATTCTTGTATTCTTTGTCTACTGACAGGGTCCGAAGTCCTCTGGGCCAGTGTCACGGCAAGATGCGTCACCGCAAACCCTCCTCGACACCGGACATGCTCTGAGCCCCCAAACCTCGAAAACCCCAGTTATAGTCATAGCATAGTACAGTAGCGTAGAGTGAGTAAATGAGTACTGTATAGTAATAGTATAGTACAGTACAGTAAACCCTGAGCCCACACCTCGAAATCCCATCCCTTCGATCGCCAGGTCCGTCACCTGCAGAGCGAGGCGCGGGTAAGTTTCATTTGGGAGCGAGTACACGTCGGGGATTGCCTGTCACCATGTAGATCAAACTCTTTAAAACAAGGGATTATTTCGAGTTACACTGCGCACCGTAGGAAACTATTTAATAAAGGTGGAGCAACCCTAAACCCTAAACCCTAAACCCTAAACCCTAAACCCTAAACCCTAAACCCTAAACCCTAAACCCTAAACCCTAAACCCTAAACCCTAAACCCTAAACCCTTTTTCAGTGTATTATATTGTGGGCTATGGCTGACTGGAGGGGGACGGGGCCTCGTGAAATTGACGAGGCAACGGGCAAAGCGCTCCGCAGACTGCCCCGATTGAAAGTTGCGACTTTTTCGCCCTATATAGCTTATAGATCCTAATGCCACCCTAAACCCTAAACCCTAAACCCCCACAACTAAAAAAACAACCGCGCAGGGCTTGATCTTATTGGGTTAGGGTTTAGGGTTTAGGGTTTAGGGCTTAGGGCTAAGGTGTGCCTTCTACCGAGTTGGGGCTGTTTGGTGTGTATGTATATGGATATCCTTCCTTGTATCTTAAGATGGGTATATTACCACCCTAAACCCCTACGGTTGCAGCCATGAAGTTGAAAGACGCCCATCCGAATTTCAAGCACCCCTTAAAATCGAGCAATTTTCGTTGTTTTTTCTGTTCTGGTTTCAGTCATGGCGGGTTAATTCAACGCTTTGGTGCTAGAGGTTTGAGCTCAAGGTTCAGGGTATAAGAACTGGAGCCGATGAATAATCCACTGCTGATCTGAGACGGTGGGCAGCTGGAGGAGGGAGGGTTTGGGTGTTTAGGGTCCAGGCTGTTGAGGGGTTTAGGGGTCTACGTTGGAAGGCGGCTCCAATACCCCTTCATGGAACAATATACCTCATAAAGCCTAATGTGAATTTCCTTTCTATTGAGGCTAAATACCGAAGCAGGGGGTATTGGGCTTTTCGGGAAATCTAGAGGCTAAGCTCCCTTCCCTCCCCGGGCCGATTCTCTGAGATCTTTGCAGTCATGTCTTCAGCAATTGGAGGTTCATGGGTAGTTATAAGTGGGGTTATATGTCCCCTAGTAGGGGTTATAATTATAGTTACCCTACTTAAAGCCCTACTTATAACCACCCATGAACCTCCAAGTACACACCACGGTTTGCATGTTGGTGGGTTTTTCGTTTGCTCGACTGTGGGGATGTTCTGTTGCAGGCCTAGGGTCTTGCGAGCAGTTTTTGGGCAGTCCTTGACGCCAACTGTTTGCCCAGACATACTTTCAAACTTAAGTTTTGAACTGCATGCATCCACCCTTTCAGAAGGAGCTTTAGAATTTCAAGTCTCGCAGCACTCCGTAGTGCTGTCAGCAATTGGCAAAGAGCTTGTGAGAACCAGTGCTCTAGCCGCAAAGCCCCAAACCCAAAATCCTGGTTTAGGGTTTAGGGGCCTAAACCCTAAACTTAAACCCTAGAAGCGCAGCCGAAAAACGCCCACAGAGAAGCAGAAAGCTGCTAGGAGACATGGAGCCCAAGAGCGCAGTGGAGCGATACATGGCCAATGCCCGAGATGTTTCAGTGGCTTTGGACAGGGTGTGTTATTCTACTATCATAGACCCTCGAAAAGTATTTAAATTAGTGAGGCCCTTGTCTTAAGACAGGAACGGCAGTTATGAGAACGCTAGCTAGTAGAAATATGTCAGTGCATTGATTCTGAGTGTACCCCTTTTGGTCCATAGCCCAGCTGCTTGTCCTTAAAACCTGGATCAAGCTCACTCTTGGAAAGTGGGTCTTCGCGTCGAGCGAGACCCAATCCCCAAGAGCCCAGGTCACTTGCAGCCCTAAGCCCCGAACCCAAACCCTAAACCCTAAACCCAAAGAGGGAACAACCCTAACCTGACTCTAAAAAAGAACATGACACCAAATGCCATTGACAACTCAGCCTGGGACTCCGAACGTCTGGTGGTTGGCCATATAGACATGGGAATACACAGCAAAAGTATCCTCTCATAGCCCCTGTGTAAGCGGGGTATCATTAGTAGATTCCCAACCAGTATTCCATTCATTGAAGCCTGCATGTTTAGCTCCATCATCCTGGTGCCCTCAAAGCGCCCTGATCTCCCTTGCCTGATCTGACTAAAACAAGCCTGCCGGCCTATTCGGGCCTTCCCTACGCCGCCTTCGATCTTCCTTTTCATTGACATTGACGTGACAGTTCGCAAGAATAGACTTCAGATCATGTGGACCTACACTGAAGGATGCCCTCAAGCCACCGCCGCGGTTGCAATGCTGAATCTACTTGAGGCCTTTCCTGGCCCTAGTCCCTCCTTAAGAGGATCTGGAAGCCCCGATAGTGCTCTCAGCTCTCCCCCAAAAAAGCTTCAGCCGGTTCCTAGCAGGACAATATGAAGCGCTCACCCCTGCCGGTGACCCTAGGCCCTGCCACCAGGGGGGAGGCTTTGGGGTCTTTTGGGCAGAGCCCAATGGGTGCTGCTTGGGAAAGGGATGTCTATGTTGTTGTAGGGGCTACAAAGGTAATCACCCACAGCAAGCACTGAAACCTACCAAACTGAAAGGAACTAGCCTGAAAGTTGATGCCTAGGTGCTTTTTGGGGCTCCTATGATGGAAGCTTCGACGTCCAAGCAAACCCAGTGCGATGCATGCTCAAAATTCAAAACCGGGAGACAGAGTTCTAAGTTACACCACACTTAGCCCATGAACTAGGACTTGAACCTTGTCAGGGCACGGGCCGACCCGGATAGCTCTTCTTCTGCGGCCACACGAACTGCAACCAAAGATGCCTGCAGCCTAAACTCTATATTTGTGTGCTGAAGCCCCTTGCACCTTGAAGCCGTGAGCCAACGGGGACTTTCGGCAGGCCATGTATCGTTTTCCCATGCTTCCACCTGAAGGCTTCGACCCCTAAACCCTAAACCCCTAAACCCCCCTTAACCCTAAACCTCTACACCCTAATACTTAAATACAACCTCGCCAGTGAGCATAGTTCTCTGCCATGCGAGAGGGAAAAATTCTTAAATAACCTAATACCCTAAACCCTAAACCCTAAACCCTAAACCCTAAACCCTAAACCCTAACCTAATACCCTAAACCCTAAACCCTTCCATGTGTCAACTGGGCGGCCTCCGGCTCGAGACTGGAGTACCGAGTCGCGCACGCGCTGGTTGGACGCGCGCAGCGAGCTTACGCTCTCGCTGCCGTAGACCCGCTCAGTGCCATGTTGGGGGCCAATGACCGCTTCCCGATGCATGGGAAGGAGACCATACCTAGCAGAGACAGATATAGGTGTATATCTGTAGAAAGATGTGTGTAGCATGTACAATATAGAACATACGATATATACATGTATATATCTAGGTCCATGGAGTACCATGATATCATACTTTTTTGGACCTGTTCCTTGACATAATGTGATGAAAATGCATACTTTTTTGTCCCTGGTTGTTTCAAAGTATATATATATATATGTATACATATGTTCATATGCTGCCTTCCCCCACGAACAGTTAAATAAAGGTTCCTTGTATATCACACGGGCAGAAATGAGCCCCAGGATTTGAAGGCACAGTGGATTGAATCAATAGCAACCTTTAGCACCAGTGAAAGCAGAATCATGAGCACAAAGTTTAGCACCAGAGAAGCGCAATCATGAGCACACAATTTAGCACCAGAAGAGGTACAATCCCGAGCACAAAGTTTAACATCAGAGAAAAACAATCATGAGCACAAGAATTAGCACCAGAAGCACAGTTATGAGCACACAATTTAGCACAATAAAATTGCGGTTTTGCTGGCATTTGTGGTTGTGCTTCTGTATGTGGTGACTGCTACTAGGGCCGACGACATTTAAATAAATATGTATGTATGTATGTATGTATGTATATATATATATATGTATATGTATAAGCGCACACACATATCATCTATCTACTTATATACTATATGTGTATGTATGTATTTTACTTCTCTGGGAACCTTGGTCCAAGTGGGAAACAGATTAGGCCTAGGCAGGAGCCAGATTTCGTCGAAGCGGCGGAGCAAGGCAGTCTAGCAAGCCCCCTAAACCCTAAACCCTAAACCCTAAACCCTGAACTCTAAACCCTAAACCCTAAACCCTAAACCCTAAACCCTAAACCCTAAACCCTAAACCGCCGTCGAAAGACCTGCAAGCTCCACTGGCAGAGATTTCAGCACGGGGTAACGGTCATTACTGGGGAAGCGCTGCCTGGGGATGTGAAAAATCGGAGCTCGTCTCAGGCTTCAAGGGCTGGTATAACACCAACGATGCTATTCATATTCAACCGTGTGTGCGCATGTTGGGAAGTGTTGCGGGGAGTACCGATGCACCTGACGGGGCAATGCCAATGGTGCGCCCGGCTTCTGGCATCGTAGCTTGCTAAATCTTGACCCGTGTGCTGCGAAGTAGAATCGAACAAGATCTCGGGATCCGTATCATGTTCTGTCTGAGGGACGATTGCTTAGCGAGCACGCCGCGTATGTGCTTTTAATTCCAGATGTCGAGGTGGAATGCAAGAATCTGTGCCGCCTGGAAGGACGCCCCACCTCCGCCACCAGTGCCTCCTCCGCCGCCAGAAGGACGGCAAGGGAAACAGCGGCGCCCGTTCGTCATGCCTGCAGTTGCTATGGCACATTTTGGGATCTGGCGCTTGAGTGCGAAAGCATGGTGTACCTGTACCGGTATGACTGGAGCAGAAATTACAGTACAGGGGCTTCCGCAAGTTCGGCACGGTAGCGGAACACCATTAATTGCCATGTTTCAGTGGGTGCATTCTCCCTCCTAGCCTCCTAGCATCAGCACACCGCGCCGCAGTTGACTGTAAGCCTCCGAAAGTAGCTTGTAAGCCCTCGAAAAGACCTAAACCGATGGAACGGCCACAGCGCTATTGGTTCCGGAACATCAAAGTCCTTTAGCTGGAAGTCTTTACGTAGCTCAGTTTGAATCCCTGCCTCCTCTTGCCTACAGCGAGGGGGGGATCAGAGCTGCCATTTCCCAATGCCGATGACGCTACCGGCGTTTCTTTCGGAGGTGCAGCCCCCGCGCTCGATGTCTAAGACGTCAAAGCAGCTGAATACCCAGCTGGAGCCCGAACTCCTCCGCGCAGTGCCGCTTGACGTGGCCCTGGCCGGCTGGGGCAAACACTGGGAGACACCAGACAGTGGCATGTTCAATGTGGATCCGAAGAACTATACTCTGAGTCGACCATGTGAATCCTTAGACGTTTTCCTTAGCCATGACTGGGCCTCGGGTGGAAAGCAAAAGCTCTTGTCGCTGCTCATCGTCTACAACTCACGTGCTGCTTTCCTGACATGCCTTGTGGTCAGCGTCCTCATTGGAGTGCTGCGTGGCTGCAAGGTGCTGCCGGATGAGGGCTGGACCGTGGTGCTCGGTCATGGCACCTATCTGTTCGTCTTCGCCTTCTGGCAGCGCTTGCGAACATTCGCCTATCGACCTTTGATGGTATTCCTGGACAAGCTGTGTGTGGCGCAGCATGACGAAGAATTGAAGCAGAAAGGCATAATGGGGATCGCTGCCTTTCTGCTGAGCTCCCGGCAGCTCATGGTTCTGTTGACACCACGGTACTTGCGGCGGAGAAGCATCCAATTCATGCCCTTGAAAACAGCGGTTCTGCTGCTTCTGGCTTCCGCATGTTGGTTTGTTTTGGCCATCGGCTGGAACGTCTTTTCCGGAGCTGTCAGACCTGGCATCCTGCGATCTGCAGAGACTGGAGAGGCGTGGAACCACGCACTGTTTTTGACAGCGATGATGCTCCTCCTCACGAGTTTTGTGCTTCCCTTTGTGTTCTACTTGGGCATGGTTCTCGTTGCGGATTTGCAAGAGATTCCTCGTCAATTGGCAGTATTCCGTCTGGAGGACGCGGAGTGCTTCTGCTGCTCCAATAACCACCGGCACCCGCACAACGGATCTAGGCTGCCATGTGACCGGCAGCTGGTATACAACACTTTGAAGCAGTGGTACGACGAGGTGGAAAGTGAAGCTGACCACTTGGAAACATTCAGCAGGATGGTCCGTGACGAGTTAGCTCCCAGCATCGCACTGCTGGTTGGTGGCTTGACATTGCCGTTTCACTATGCCGTGTTCACCGTTGGTGCGAGCAACCTACCTTACCTCGCAGATCACGTTGCGCTGTTGTTTGGCACCGTGCGCGCAGGCGTCTCTAGCTATTCTCTTTTCGTCGGGACTTTGCGGCAAGCCGTTGACTGGGGGACGGTACCATTGGCCAGCATGTTGGCTGTGTGGATCTCCCCTCCTCTGTGGAAGGCAGGCCTTCGGCTGCGAAATCGATGGTGCGCCGCAATAGTGACGCAAGCCGTTGTTTTTTTTGTCGTTGCCATGGTGTGGGCTCCTGTGCAAGTCGTCCTAGGCTTGACCCAACAGGATGACTTGCTTCCTGTGGCAGTGTTCCTCTTCTGGCTAGCACTACTCCTGACGCTCCATTCCCCCGCATGGGGGAAAAAGTGGTTGGCTTGGGCTTTGGGTGATAAACTCCGCGAACCTATGCAACAAGCGCCAACTGCAGCCAAGGAGGGTTTTGCTTTGGATGCCACCATGCAAGACAAGACAGTGAATGCTGAGGTAGACATGTGTCAAGAAGCGGTAATGCCAGAAAAGCTGGCAACAGCCGTAGAATGCTTTCCTTCAGAAGGGACCGTCTCCATATGATCCATGAACCCTGGACTGAGTCGTGCTAGCGGCGGATGTAGCGGGCACTTTGACAATGCGGACTGAGGCACACCGCGCAGTGTCAGGCATGTATACTAGATCAGTCTATGTATATCTGCAACAAATAAAATGACGTAATGTTGACATCATTAACATTCATCTTACTACTAGTATTAATAGGAATGCTAATGGTAATGTTAATATTAATACATATACAGCTATATATACATATAGATATATACATATATACACACAGATGGTGTGCTACGAAACCCATGTGCTGTAGTTTTGGCCCCTCGGTGCAGAGCCGTTACCAGGGTTTTCAACTGAGTTCGCATGTCTCCCGAGCAGATGTGTGTCGTGGCCATACCGAAGTGGTAGCCTTGCCATGTCTGCGTCAGCATTGTTTGATCCACATCCTGCGACCCCAGGTGATAATGTCCCGGTGATTCGGGTTCGATTGTAGTCAATATAGTCTCTATATTGAATCGCCTGTGTGGTCACAGAGTCCGAGCAGGGGTGCACAAGCAGCTGACTTGCATGCTTACACCGGTAGTTGTGGCATGCATTTTCCTGCTGACAAACTACGTGTTCGTTTTTCCCGTCGGCCCACGCACCTCAGCCTTCTTGGAAGAAAGAACCGACCCACGGCACGCATCATAAGAGCAACATGCCCGGGATCCTTGCAGAGCGCGCTTGCTTGGAGGTTCATGGGTAGTTATAAGTAGGGTTATAAGTAGGGTAACTGTAATTATAACCCTATTAGGGGACTTACAACCCCACTTATAACTACCCATGAACCTCCAAGTGGAGGACAGCTGCCAACACTGCTCAACGCATCAAGGCACAGATTGCCCCTTCGTGGGGTTTGGGCCTGTTCTGGGCGTAGTAGTGGCGGGGTATTTAAAAGGGTACCGTCGGGTGAAATTCAAAATTCATGGTCTCGAGATTTTGCAGGATGCTTTAGCAAGAATGCGCTTGGCATACGAGGTCGTTGTTTAAATGAGCCAGCACACCAACAATTTGCAGAGGCTTGCCTCGAGCTTGCAGTGTGCATCAAGGTTCTTCTGCGGTCTTCATTCCCAAGCGTGGACAAACCAGGATTCGCTTGGACCCGTCTTTGTAGCGAATCGTCAGGCACCCCAGTTTTCCCAGGTTCCTGGAGCATGTGCAGCCCCCTCACAGGCGAGCTCCGCCTCTTCAGCAACCGCCGCCGCAGAAAGTCTTCGAGAAACCGAGACTTGAAATCTCCATCCCTGAGTCAGAGCCTCGACTTGAGATATTCAGCTTTGCTTTGGTCTTCGAAGCAAAGCCCGAATCGCTAAACTCCACATCACTTCGCATCCCTAAATCCTAAACCCGCTCCCGAAGAATGAAATCCCAAGCCGTGATGCCCTGTGCATCGAAAGGAGTCCGATCTCCACACCTATCCCGCGGAGGCCGTGCAGGCAGCTCTGCTGTCGATTTTACAGGGAGAGTAGAAAACGAAAGCGGGGGACAAAAAGAGTCGCTTGGAGGTTCATGGGTAGTTATAAGCAGGGTTATAAGTAGGGTAACTGTAATTATAACCCCATTAGGGGACCCATGAACCTCCAAGCAGGGCTCGTGGCAGAGAGCATTGTTTCCCAGAGTACCAGGTTCACAAGGCAGGCCCGGCTGTTGGCGCATGTGACAATGTGGGTTTTGAGGATTGGAACCTGGAGTGCTGGAACTCGTGCCAGCTTTTTCGCAGGAATTTTCAATGTGCAAACCTTACACCACCTACACCCCCAAGGGAGGGATCATAGTGGCCTGGGCTTGTTCCTGTCCTGAGACTACGAATCTGGCAGTTCCCCTGCAGATCCAGTCTGCGAAGCCGGGGCCTGGGGGGATGGGGCCACAGCGGGCCACACCCTGAACCCAAGTTAGCCACAAAGCAAGAAGGTGCGGAACACCTTCATCCACGTGGCAGCAGAGGCTGGTGCAGAGAGTGATCGACTTGCTTTGTCCTGCCCCCTGGTGGAGCTTGAGGCTTGGGGCTGCGGGTCTAAACCCTAACACCTATGCCCAAAAATACCCTAAACCCTTGTGAGAAAAGGGACTTAGTACTGCCGTAGCGGCCTTCATGCAACAAGAACTCGGCTTCAGGACTTGAGGTGAAGCAGTTCAAAGCCATTGCAGTTTGCAGCAATCGGAAGTGCAGAAGTGCCGTACCGATTGTAGGCAGTTGCAGAATTCGTTCGAGGTCTAGTCATCTATTGGGCTTCCAACCGCATCATAGGTAAGTACACTAAGGTAACATGAGCAGACAGAGACATGTAAAATGTGCGGGGTGCATTTTTGGGCGCCCTGCAACGCACCAACCTACAACTTTGCCAACCCACCGACCAACCAACCAACCAACGTACCGACCGAGCTACCCGCTCACTCTGCCTGCCTGCCTAATTACCTACATACACGGGCATACATACACATAGACAGTTACTTATGTATCTTTATAAACACATGCGAACAAAATGTAGGTCTGCGTATTTGTATCTATAGCTACACATGAGCATTCGTTTTTTTGTAGTTTGCAAATGCATGTAGAGAGAACGTTGCATTATTACTCGCAATAACGGCAACAACAAATAATAAGCTTCACCATGCCTGCTTGACACTTGCCATGGCTGCTGCTGTAGTTGCTCGTTATGCATACACCCAACAAGGCCTTCTAGTAACTCTCATGGTAGTCGCCCTCTAGAAAGCCTTGTAGAATAGAACCCTAAACCCTAAACCCTTCTAGTACCACGAGAGCTAAGGCCCTTCGAGTGCCTCGGCTGTTGAGTTGTGGTTGCGCCGCGTCTTTCAATGCGTGGAGTCTGGTAATTTAAGGGTTTGGGGTTTAGGATTGGTTTCGCCGGGTTTCGCTGGAAAACTATCTACGAGCCTGCAGGCCAAGAATCGCAATCGTAACGATCACAAGAATACAAGTAGAGGTGCTTGATCAGTCTTGGTCGGTACGAGTTCACGAGTGACGTGGCTCGGCCTTGCAATCGGCTATTGTGCGAGAGGTGTAGGCCCATGAGAATCCAAGTCAGCGAGGCTTGGGCATGAAATACGCATACACATACTGACTGCACAGCGTCCGCGATCTAGAACCTGGCATTGAAGCTAACAAACAAAGGTTGTTCCCCCTGTCGACTGTTGCGAAGCTCGCGGATGCAGTGCGCACTTGTCTCACGTAGAGACACAAGTCCTCGCAGATCACATGAGCTCTGCCCCCGCGCTCTAAATTCTAATTTCTAAATGCCCTAACGCCTAACATCGTATTCCTATAGTATACTATAGTGTATCGAGAGCCGTTCTTGTTTATATACTAAGGCCAAGTCGGCAAGATTCACGATCTGTTCACAGATGCTTGGCTGTGAGAAGAGATCTGATGAGAAGCTGCCTGTCGCAAGCCCTGTGCTCAGGGATCTATAAAGGCCACGGCCAGTTGCAATAAGGGTTCCTGGAAAGGGTCCATAAGGAGATTCCTGGAAAGGGTCCATAAGGAGACTACTGGGTTTAGTTTAGGGTTTAGGGTTGGTCTGCCTAGCCCGGTAGTCTATAGTACAAAGTGTTTGCTGTTCCGCGTTTTTGCATTAGGAAGTGTATGCGTTCTTCTTCATGAAACTCCAAGATTCCCTGCTAGGTAGGCAGGACGGTGCGTGTGCATTGTCGCCAACCCGAGACCCCACGTCAGCTTTTGTGTCAGTCACAGCGTGTGTTCCGAGACCCGAGGAGGAATTCCAGGAAACTGCAGTCAAGCCCGTCTTGAACTTGGAGGAGCCGGCACAGTCCCTCTTCAGGGAGTGATATAGGAACCTAAACAATTACCAATACTATTTTGGGGGGGTTCCGTGTTATAGCTATAGTCCAATACACCTTAAAACCCCACTCTAAACCCAAAGCCCTAAACCCTAAAACCCTATTCTAATGATGAAGGCACCTCTCGTAGACGTGGAAGGTCTCAGTCCTGGGTTTAAGATGTGCTTCGGAGAACCCTAAACCGGAAAAGCCGGCAGGATTGGTTTGAGTCTGTGATTGCCGCTGTCTCAGCTTGGGGGTCTGATACTGTATCATTCCGACTGGCACCTATGGATCCTCGCCTGGCATGTCCGAGTTGTGAGTAGGAGCGTAATTCTTAGTGACAGTTACGGGAACTCCGGGTTACCAATACTATTTTGGGGGTTCCTAGTACCTAGAGCCCTTATAGAGCCCTTCACGCTTATAGAACCCTTTGGCAGGAGCACTCTTCTAAATAGGAAGGCCCCGATCTTTGGGCTTTGATGCAATGGACGCTTTGCAGGAGGCGCTTTTCGAACCCCGTGTGACCGTGCCGGAACCACCGAGGCCATGGGCCATGGCGTAGAATTCGAGCCTTGGGGCGGAGAAGTAGGGTTTATAGGGTTTTAGGGAGGGGACTTGGGTTTCGGGTTTTAGGGAGAGGACTTGGCCAGGCGAGCTCCAATCAAGCCTGTGTAAAAAAAAGTTTAGGGAAGGCATTCGTGTATAAGTGCTTCGGCGGAGCATGGACATAGGCGTGCCTGTCTTGAGCTTCGGAAGGTAACTCCACAACGCTGCCCATGTTATGGCGGTGTTGCGCGAAAAAATGCTCAAGAATGGAAAACCGCCTGAAGGGCTGAGCCTCACGTACGCCAGCGAGACAGAGAGAGAGAGAGAGAGAGAGCGAGAGAGAGAGAGAGAGAGAGACAGAGAGAGGGAGAGAGAGAGGGAGAGAGAGAAAGAATGGGGGAGCTGCCCCTCTGCGGCCCGTGTACAGCCGATCCCGTCGGGGCGACGCCTCTCCGGAGACCCTTGAAAAACCTGTGAACCGCAGGTGCGCGCTCGCCTGCCTCCTCTGTCCTGGTAGAGAGAGAGAGAGAGAGAGATATATATATATATATATATATGCGGGTGGGCCTGTGGCCCGGGGGTCCTAACCGACCCTCATGCCCAAGAGAGAAAGAGAGAGAGAGAGAGAGAGATAGCGAATGGGACACCGTGTTCTAGCAGCGCACGATCCGAGAATGCAGTGGCACTATAGGGGCTTAAAATAACTGCCAATACCGTTTTCAGGGTTCCTTATTGTAATTATAGTATGAGATACCCCAAAACCCCACGCTAATTATTCAGGCCCCTACATCAAGCTATCCTAAGCCTTGAATCTGGACTTGCTTCCTGCGTCTGAAGCGGCGGGGGGCGAGACCAGCTGGCGCAAAGTTCAGGGAATGCTGGAGTTAACAGCGTTTTTGAGGTTGTCTAGTCTTGCCTCTGTGAAACCGAGAGCTTGTGCTTTGAACTTATGGAATGAAAGCTTGCAGCATAGTCCGATCCACAAGAACATTTCCCTCACCATATGCATTCTTCATCTTCAACGTACCCCAAAACCTAAACCCTAAATAGACCTCATTCATGCGAGGGGGAAAAAAACCCTAAATCCTAAAGTCCCAAGGTGTCAGGTTCTCTGAATTTCATCGTCCCATGCAAACGAGTTCCCAACCTGTCCTCAGGGCCCCTCTGGCCCCGATTGGGCCAAGTGAGCCGCAGGCAAAGGGGGTGAAGGGTTTTCAGAGGTCCAGAGATGTTCGGAGGATGCGGGATTGAAGTCTAAACCCTAAACCCTAAACCCTAAACCGTCTTAAGTGTAGTTAGGGTGTCGGAAAGGCTTCGGGCATCTAATCATTGAGGCACTGGGGTCTTTGCGGAATAGGTAATATAGGGGCCTTAATGCGTACCTCTACTATTCTGGATTCCTTATTCTACGCAATCATCATACAATGTAACCCAAAGCCCTATTCTAACTATTAAGGCCCATACATCATAGAGCTCTTTTATAGAACCCTTAACCCGTAATTTATGTAATAGAACCCTTTTGAAGGAACCCTATTCTACATATTATGTAGGGGCCTAAATATTAAGGCACCTACAGTATATCAAGTCGTGAGGTCAGGAGAGTTCCAAGGCTTCTGGCCCTTATTGTAGGGTTTAGGGTTTAGAGGCTTAGTCATGAGAGTTGAGTCTTCAGACTTTGATTGGCGGTTTGGGAGTCTTTATATAGACGGGGAAGTCTTGCGTCTCAAGGGCCCGAATTTCTGATTTTCATCAGGTTGTAGAGGGGTTCGGCATGTTGACTTGCAGATGCCTCGGGCCGAGTGCTCCTATTTGGGGCTCTCATGCCTCCGTGCCATGCTAAACCCTAAACCCTAAACCCTAAACCCTAAACTCTAAACTCTAAACCCTAAACCCTAAACTGTAAACCCTAAACCCTAAACCCTAAACTCTGCCAGTGTTCACAGCCGGCTACCGACGCGATCCTCGCGTGTCGTAAAGTCTCACCTGCGGGTCGGACAGCAAGGTTTTAACCATCATGGTGTCATTCAGAATTTCATCGCCTAACACAGAGGCCTTAATAATTACCTAATCAGACTATTTAAGGGGTTCCTTATTATCATCATAGTACAGTCTATGTTCTAATCATAAAGGCCCCTATATTAAGTTTTGCCAGGTACAAGAACAAAGCACTGGCTTTTGTGTTCTCTGGTGAGGACTTTGCTGAAACTACGATCCGCCCCACTTCGGTGCCGAGCCGCTTGGTCGCGGTAGATCGGGAATCCCGGGATCGGAGAGGAGTCATAACCCTAAACGCTAAACCCTAAACCCTAAACCCTAATAGCAGAAACCGGCTGTCTTGAGACCCGGAAGCTTAGGTGGGCTTAGCTCATGGACCGGTTTCCGGTCCCCCAGTTAATATAGGGGCCTTTATCCAGAAAAGGGTTCTGAGGCCCATTACAATATAATTATACTAAGGACCCCCAGTTTCTCTGAGATGTCTCAGAGCTCGACACCATGATCCCCGAAAGACCCTAAAGCCCTTGGGTGGGATGAGGAAGAGATAGGAAGAGATCTGAGGTTCCTACGCTTACAGCGGCCGGTACTCCCCTGCCCATGGCGGCGCAGGAAGACGCTGTACGGAGCGGTACAGCGACAGCTTCTCAGACCTCTACCCCGACACGTACCCAGAGCGGTATGTGGGGAGATACCAAGATCGTTACACCGAGCCCTACCCCGATCGCGGAGCGGGTCCCTACGCGGAGCAATACCCGATGCCCCTACCAGAGCGGTACAGCAAAAGGTATGCCGACCCATACCAGGAACAGCACATCCAGGTTTCCTACAACCGGTATGACAGACCATATGACCGGCAATATGAGAAGTTTCCAGAGCGGTATCTTTGTCATAGTTGGGTAACAGTTTACATTTTTCAGGGTACTTAGACCCAATAAGGAATATACGTTTAAGTTTTTAATACTACCCCAACCATGAACAAGGTATGTGGTGCAGTATCCCGAGCGTCCCGTTGAGTATCCGGAGCCCTGTGGGGAGCGGTACAATGCCAGGACCTCAGAGGAGGGGCGGCGGTCACAAGTTTAGGGTTTATAGAGTTTAGGGCTTTTAGGGTTTAGGGTTTAGGGCTTTTAGGGCTTTTAGGGCTTTTAGGGCTTTTAGGGCTTGTAGGGTTCGGGGCTTATAGGGCTTATATAGGGTTTATAGTATCGTTTCTGTTGGCTTGATTGTTTCCCCTGCTCTCTCGCACTGTCTCTCCCCTTGTCTTTCATCTCTCTCTCTCGCGAACTCTGTTACTCTCTCTCTCTCTCTCTGTTTCTCTCTCTCTCTCTCCCTCCCTCTCTCTGTCTCTCGCAAACTGTGTTACTCAGTCAGTGATTCCAGTCCACAGTCGCGAAGTAGCAGGCTGATAATCCGAAAGGTCCGTATCTTTCAGTGACCTGCTGGATTGATCAGACAGAGATTGAGCTGACAGAGGCATTTTGTGCCATGTTTCTGGGAATAGGCCCCTTGCCTCTGCACGGTCGATGCTGCCAAGGCTCATCAATCGAGCTCCCTTTTTACCGACCCGCGAAACTCGCGACCAGAGATGCCACCTCTGCCGCAGCAGACTCTTGTCGGTTGGCGATTAGGGACAAGGCATTTCATCAGAATCCTCACCCCTGGCGGAATGCTTCGCAACCCTAAACCTAAACCCTAAACCCGATAAGCCCGAAACCCTACCCCTAACCGTCTCAGGGCATGATCTCCTCTAGGCTGCCCGTCCGCAGCTTCGTAGATATCTTACGGCAGCGAAGGTTTATTGTAGCCTTTCTTTCGTCACCGTAGCTTCCTGCCTGACTCCCTACGCAAGGTGATATTGAGATGTAAGCGCGGATGGTTGTGATGAGTCGCTGGTTTCAACACCTTAGCACTTCTCGCGATGCTGGTCATCTTCATGATGCTACGCTTCTTGTGTTTCGCCGTTGTCATACCAGCAACAGCATCAGCAGCTGTAGATGTAATGCCAATCAGACCACTTCCCATGACTACTACTGTCGAGCACCACCAGCCACCGCCAGCAACACCAGCACCGACACTACCGACACTACCGACACCACCGACCACCAGCACCAGCAATAGCACCTTCACCGGCACCAGCACCACGGAACAAGCGTTGCACCACAGCACCAGAACCAGCACCGGCAACACAGTAATTAGTAGCATTAGCAATGACACGCAGCAAAATGGGCAAGGCACAAACGCAACTCGGAGCCAGGTGAGCAAATGCATCTAAGTCCTCTCTATATCGCCGGTACAAACAAAGACGACACGCGCACTTCGTTCCCCCTTCAGCAACAGCAGCAACAAGCACAATATAGCACCAACCGTAGCAGTCTAGCAGTGCATCATCCGACCAGCGCAGCATCTAGTTACTCTACATCCTAGCGATGAGCATCTGAGTAAGGGAGCATTCGCGATCCAAAGAATGATAGCACCACTGCTGAACATCGGTGCACACGCGGCTCAACGGCTTGTAGTGTCCACATCTAGCGGGCGCATTCCTTTTGTGCAAGCGACGATTGCCTTATCACCAAATGCACTGGTAGCAACGGCATTGTTTTAGTCTGCGAGTGAAGCTAAGAGGTGCAAATTGTCCGGAAACCAAGGCCGACCAAACAAGGCATATCAGTCAGTTGTACCTCAGCTTGCCTGATTCCTGATCTCTATAATCCCTCACGAAATCGCAAAAACTTCCCAAGCCCTAAACCCTAAACCGCCTGATTCCCGGCACGCCCTGCGCGCTCTGCTCTAGGATGCCTCCACCGCCCCCTTCGGTGCAAACGCCTCCCCCGCCGTTGCCACCGCCACCCCCGGCGCCCAAGAAGAGCCGCTCCAGGGAGGCTTGAGTCGGGGGTTTAGGGTTTGGGTTTAGGGTTCAGGGTTTAGGGTTTAGGGTTTAGGATTTAGGGTTTAGGGTTTCGGGTTTAGGGCTAGGGCTTATAAGGTTTAGGATTTAGGGTTTAGTTAGGGTTTGGGGTGTAGGGTTTAGGGTTTACGGCTTTCGAACTCAAGAAACGTAAGGGCTGTTTGCAGGATTCCGGTTCCTCGGGTGCTCCCCGAAGGTTTGGCCCAAAGTCACCTGTCGCACGAGGGGGACACGGGACACCGCAGAATCGCCGCGCAGAATATCAATTACTTTGGAATGCTTTGCAGTTCAGGGTCGTTCGTGGCAAGCCCTGATCTGCAGTGACAATAAGTCAGAGCCCCCGTTCTCCAGGCCACTCGAATAGAATCTGTGCTTGGCTGTTACAGTCGGGTTGGGATTGTCTTGGAATTTCAGAAACTACTGTTTGCACCGTGGTCTTGGCAGCGTGACAGCAGGGTCATCGATTTGGAGCTAGTGCGGTCTCCAGCCTGAATAGACCCTACACCCTAAACCCTAAACCCCTAAACCCTAAACCCTAAACAAGGTGAATATGTCCCTCTGTCACATAGCCCAGCATGTCCACGTAGCAATCTCGGACACTTATTGCCATGCCTGCTTTGCGAGTGTGTGAGTCGAAACCCTAAACAAGCACTGTTGTCAGGCTCCGGTGGTGTCTCTTGGGTCCATGCCGGAGCATCTCCTGGGCACAGCTGCGCCTTGTCCTGAATAGTGTGGGGCATACTGTTGATGATATAAATCCTGCATTCACTTAAGGACCCTAAACTGTGGGAATTATGGTATATTCCTTATTATGGGTAGTGCAGGATTTATATCATCAACCGTATGTCGGGAGCATTTAAGGGACCACATCTGTTGCGAGGTTTAAGAGAAGGCTTTCCGGACAGTCGGCAGAGCCTGAAGCACTCCTGCTTTTGGTTGGGGATCAGTGTCAAGCGGCCTGCATGAAGGGCACACCAAAACTGGGGGTGAGATTTTCTGCGAGCTCAAATGAGGCCAGAGCTTATGAAAGAGCCCTAAGCAGGTTCTTTTGATTTGAAAGCTCGGGGGCCAGCATCACCGGCTATCTAGATCGACATGCGAGGGTCCTCATGACAGATGAATGCCACGAACAGGGGCAAACTCGACAAGTTCTCGGCTCCTGCGGAGGAGTATCCCAGTGCTGGCTCCCGGGATCATCGAGTTGGTGGGTGCAAGCCATGCGCCTTCCTCGTCAAAGGCTCTCGGGAGGGGCCTGTCTCTGTATGCCTCTGTGTATATACAAACCTAAACCTAAGGACCAAATTTATGCACAGGTATCTGTCTGTTTTTTCAATTTCGATTCATCTCTGTTTGTCATTCGTAGTAATTAGTAATTTAGTACTTGTAACTGCCATTGTGACCGCGATTCATTTGCTTTGCAATTGCAATTCTTATTGTTATGTTGTGCCATCCCAGGCGCGGTTCAAGCCTGGAAATTAGAGTCTGTGAAGATTCAGGCATGAGGCTTTCAAGCTCGTTGCCCTGCGCAGTATCCCTTAATCGAGGCTGCTCAAACGTCGCGTTCAGGCTGTTGCCTCTCGAAGCCTTTCCTGGTGACAGGCTGCCAAAATGGCATCATGTGCAAGTTTTGCCACCTGTGCGATGCTGGCGAAAAGATGCTTGGATTGCCGTATACAGGGGGTCGTGTGGACAGCTGCGAACATTTGGCACGTACCACTCTCGGAGGGCATTTGTGCCAATGGAACAGTCACAGGACTGCATTTTCCGGAAAATGTCTCCCGGAAGTTTTGTGCTTTCGGAAGCTCCCATGTGATGAGTCCTCCAAAACACTGCCCAGATCTCAGGAAGCGCCGGCAAAAGGCGAAAAAAGCTGCCTTCAAAGCGGTGCAGAGGCCAGAGACGATATCATTGTACACGAAGTGAGGCTTTGAGAGCAAACGTTCACCTGACCTGTTCTCCAAATCTTGGTTGGCTTGTCACCATTCGGTTCGGAGAGACAATCGGAGGTTGCTGCCATGATGTATCTCAACTACCACGTTGTTGAATTCGGGCATGGTGGTAGAACAATGCTAGGAAGAGCAGATCGAGACAGCTGTTATCATGCCTATTGTTAAAGATAAAAGACTTTTAGCGTTAATTTAGCTCTTAGGACTAGTACTAGTACTAGTACTAGTAATAGTATTAGTACTTGTAGCAGTACTACCCTTGTAGTAGTACTAGTATTTGTATTACTAATGCTGCTGCTGCTGCTGCTACCACAACAACAACTACTGCTACTACTACTACTACTACTACTACTCCTACTACTCCTACCACTACTACCACTACCACGACGACGACGACGACGACGACGACGACGACGACGACTACTACTACTACTACTACGACTACTACTACTAAGCAGAGGAATCCTACTCACAAGAATACGGAAACCCTCGCACAAAGTCTG